GAGCTCATTTTTGAGTGACAGTTGGGCATTATGATGCAACTATTGTATCAGGGCTCAGCAATACCTGCCCACCCTCTGGTACAGATAAGTTTCTGAGGCTAAATGTTTTCAGATTCTGAGAGGAAAGGATAATAGTTGCATTTAGTGGCGACACCACAGAGTTTGTGAAGGTTGTATTGATCCTGGTACCAGGGACCCAGTAGAGGTGGGAATGTTTGAAAAATCAAGAAAAGTCATGAAATTCTCAACACAAGCAGAAAATAGTCACCACCATGGACTGGAAGGGAACCCGCATAGGAGTGGAATGAATGTTCATATCTCGGGAATAAAGTCTGACACAACTGGGATCCCTGAGGCGTGGGTAACTGAATTTCAAAGGCATTCCCTGGGTGGTAACTGGTTCAGCTGAGAGATTGGAACTGTTCAGATCCTATTCAAAGATAAAGCAATGGCTCAAGGAATGTCCTCGTTGAGGGAATGGGGTGAATGCACATCCAATGGGGAAAAGGTGATGGTTAAGACTGGAAAACACGTGAAATCTAAAGACATATCAATGGTCTTTTTTATCTTTTACTTCATTCTTGGGATGAGGGTGTTGCGGACCAGGCAGCATTTATTGCCCAGAGGGCAGTTGAGAGTCAACCACATTGCTGTGGGTCTGCAGTCGCATGTAGGTCAGACCATGTAAGGATGACAGTTTCCTTCCCTAAATGACATTAGTGAACCAGATGGGATTTTCCCCAACAATCAGCAATGGATTTATGGAGGTCATCAGACTCTTAATTCCAGATATTTATTGAATTTAATTTCCACCATCTGCCATGGTGGAATTTTGAACTCTGGTCCCTCGATCATTACCTGGGTCTCCGGATTAACAGTCCAGTGATAATACCACTAGGCTATCGCCTTCCCTTCTCTTCCACTCAAACCTTTGTCTATTTATGAAATAAAAAATTACCACTACTTTAATAGTTACCTTGGAAACAGAAGAGAAATACCTACTTCTATGTCTTTTGATCTTGAAAATAACCCAAGGCAGCCAGTTTGTGCAAAGTCTCTTCATAAATTCCAATGAAATGACTGACCAGATCACCATATTCTGGTGCAACAGAATCAACTTGAAGCATGAACTGTTTCTCTCTCCACAGATGCACCTTCAATTGTATTTTCAAAATCTTCCACTTTGTGCTGGTTTAGGGATATATACTAGCCAGTATCCTTCCTAAAGTATGAGCTACAGCAGGCCATTCAGTTCATTGAGCCTCCTGAGCTATTCAATAAGACCAATGGGTGATCTGATTTGTTATCTCAAATTCACTTTCCTGTAACCTTGATTCTTTTGTCAATCAAAATTCTGTCAAATCCAGTCTTGAATTTGGGGAAGAGAGAGAATTCCAAAATCTTATGATTGGTGAGAAGAAATTCTCAGCTGAATGTTTCTTCATAATTCCCTCTGAGAACCTTTTCTAAAATGCTTCCATTATAAGTATGTCTGCCCTTGCAGAGACTAATACTGTACATAGTACTCTAATTATGGTCCATACAATTGTAGCAAGGCTCCTCCAATGTTATGATACAATAAAGGCCAAAATCCCAAACAAGGATTTACCTTCCTCATTACTTACTGAGCCTGCTTGCTAACTCTGATTTACATACAATGCCATCCAGATCTCTGTGCTGCAGCGTTCCCTGTGTTCTCCATTTAAATAATAATTTTCCTCCTCCTTTCCATGAAAATTAGCAACCTCCCTTTTCTCTCTTCTCCAACTGCCAGTTCTTACCCACTCGGCTTATGTACATTCCTTTTCAAACTCTTTGAGAGGAGGATTCATTTTACTATCACTTCTAACCTTGAGTTACCAACAAAATGCTGTATAATGCAGGTGGTCTGTATACCTAAATCATTGATGCGGAACAATTGAAGCCTCAGCACTGATGCTTTGGCACTCCATTGATTACAGTTTGCCAAGTTGAAAGCAACTATTTATTCCACTGTTCCTTATTCATTAGCTAATATCAACCCCAACATAATAGGCTGTTATCGTGTGTAGTCACCTTTGCATGCCTTTAAAGTTTGCTGGTTCCCTTTTATGCATCCTGCTCTTACATTCTTGAAAAGCTCTAATAAAATTGTCAAACAAATTTTCCCTTTTTTACAAAACCATGTTGGCACTGTCTGATTATATACCTCCTTAATAACAGATTCTGATATTTTCCCAATGACCTGTTCTCTTGTCCTGCTTTCTATCTCCTGCTCTTCTTGAACATGTGTTGGATTTGTGGTTTTCCAATTCACTGGACTCCTTTTTCTTTACAAAATCTGTGGAATTGTGGAAGATTATACCAACGTGTCTGTTATTACTGTGTTATGATCACTCTTGCTTAAAAGATTGTTACAATGATGTTTAATTAATCTTGTCTCATTACCCGTTGCCAGACCTAAAATATCCTTTTTGTTCAGTTGGTTAGGGATGTAGGAGCAGGAGTAGACTGTTAAGCCTATTGAACATGCTCCACCCTTTAATATGATCATGACCGATTTGAGCATTTCAATACTTTTTAACCCACATTATCTCTTTAACCATTCACACTATCCATATTCAAAAGATTATCAACCTCGAAATCTACTCAAAGCCTAAGCTCCCACAGACCTCTAAGGTAGAAAATTCAAAGGATTCACCACAGGTTCTAGAATCTAAAACTGTCCTGCAAGCAATTTATGAAGTCGCCTTTTGTTGTCAATTTGATTCATTTTAATTTGAGGATTTGAGTCTACATGATTTTTACATTATCCTTCTGATAACCCACTTTATTTCTTGATTTTATGTCCTGCCCTGCACTGTTCTCCCAGATAGGGGAGTGGCTATAAAATGCTCCCACTGGGGACCTATCTGTTTCCTTTGTTATTTGTTATCCCCATCCAACATTTTGATCTTCTGTACCAAGTTCATTTCTCACTACTGTGCTGCTCTCATCCTTTATTAACGGAGCTCCACTACCTTATCTTCCTTTTTTCTTGTCCTTCCGCGGATATTTCAATCCCGGCAATGATTATCTCTGTCTCTGTAATGCCTTAGTTGCAAAATTATCATGTACTGAAATCTCTGGAATGGGACTTGACCCATTATTTTCTGACCCAGAGATGGGTTGTACCCTATACATAATTAAAATATATGTGGATGTTAAATCAGAATTTTTAAATAAAATATCTTTCATACGTTCTTTACCCTTGAGAGAGATTGGGGATAGG